AAGTGAAATAATTTAGTTATAAAGGCAAATACTGAACAATTCTGCTTTCATGAGATAATTAAAACTGGGAAAATATGATCAATATGTTATGTGTGGAAACCAGTAACTTATCTGTGTATTTTCCTAAGTCTGAGAGGCAGAAGAAGAAATGTATAGTTCAAATGAGATCAGCATATATATGACTATAGTTTAATATATTTTGCTATTTCACATTTATTTTAGTGCCATGAGAGTAGAATAACATAGTTTCAGTCTTGTTACCTAAAAAACAAAGATTGAACTAGTATTTATAAAGTATTAACGGCAATGTCTGGTACTGTAAAAATGTTAAATGAAAAAGCCTGGGTATCATATGTAGTAAAGATAAATGCTCACTATGCGTGCCTTTGACTTCCAGAAACAGTGTCATAACACTAATTACATATGACTATAATTACATATCTAGTCATTCCTCTCCCTAAGGGTAGTAACTACTGTCAAAGATGGGCTGAAGGCAATTTAACAACAATAACAAATTTAGATAACATTAAGTAATCAATCAATATTAAAGAACATTTACTGAGCATCAGTCAGGCGGCAGTCCTCAGACTGACTAGAAGCCCTAAACCATTTCAAATATTGCCTTTACTAATGTTTTCAAAAGAATAGTATGTAAGAGGTCAAAAGACCTGGGTTCTATCTTTGCAATAATCACCTGGCCTCAGCTATTCATTTACTGATTTTGACCCTCATAACATTAAATATTAAATAATTAAATTAGTATCTGTATACAGACTTTCATAGCATCATTTATTTCTTGAGGCGTTCACAATCAGACTTGTTTAAATAGTTTGGAAAAAAAAAGAATCAGGAAACAATTTGAACAATAAGTTCTTGTTCCATAATAAAATATAAATTGCAGTACATTTAGGAAAATGTGTGTGGTGGGGAAGACTATAAATAATCCCAGCACTCAGAAGGCTGGAAGCATGAAGAATGAAGGCAAGTCAGAGGCCATCCTGGACTACTCAGTAAGACTGTCAACAGCCCAAAGAAATAAAACGCTAATAAATTTGGCAGCATAAACATAGTTAAACGAAACTGTTTTGCAAAACAACTTAGAAAAATTGAGATAAAAATTTTAGTTTGCAGGCTGGAGAGGTGCTCACTAGTTAAGAGCACCAGCAGCTCTTACAGAGGACCTGGGTTCAATTCCCAGCACCCACTTGCAACTGAGCTCCAGTTCCAGGAGATCCAACGTCTTCTACTGACCTCCGTGGACATGGCACAACACCAGTGTACTTATATGCATGCAGACAATACACTCATAGACATAAAATAAATAATTTTTTAAAAAAACTTTTAGTTTTTGCTCTTTCCCCACAATTGTTCAAATTCATCCTCCCACGAAAATAGGATTCTTTTCTCTAAGGCCTAACTCAAATGAAGAGGAAGACTCTGAAACAAGGATATCTACCAACCTGTGGAAATAAAAACCTTGTACAGAAACACAAATCAGTCTCAAAGTTAAATCTCTGAATCCTCATATCCAACAAGAAAACTAAGCACACTTTGCATCCAGAATGAACACAAGATAACCAAGGTTCTACCTTCAACAATCATCTAAAAACAAAAACAACAAATCCTTGTAGCGCAAGAGAAGGAACAGCATGAGATGGGGTCAATGTCCAACAGAAGCTGCACTGAGGAAAAGAAACAAATTGATCCCAGTGGGGAACAGCCTCTTCTTGCTCTGGACTTGCTAGAAGGCAATCTAGCTTCCGTCAAAAAAAAAAAGAAAAAAAACCCAGGTGACTACTATAGCCAACCCAACTAGCCAAGTTGCAAATATTAAGAAAAAACAAAACACCTGTCAAAATGTTTTAAAATTTTAAACGCTTCATTTCTTAAGAAAGCATTATTATACATGTTTGTAATGATAAAAAGAAATTTCAAAAATACTTTTGAGCAATGGTAAGCTACCTAAGCTATCATAATCAAAAACATTCTATCACAGCTCCTGATTTTGCTTCCTCAGTTTCTTCCTCCACCATTCCTTACCTTCAAGGAAATAAGAAAGTTGTCTTCACTTATTACATATGTGACCAATCTTCCTACTCTTCTGCTTAGTCCATCTTTTTAAAACTTCAAATTAAAGAAGTAACTACTTAAAAAAAAAAAAAGAAAGAAAAAAGAAAAAAAAAACAAAGAGAACACTCAACAGAAAACACTACAATTTCTACAAAACAGATTAATACCTCTACATTGAACTAGGAATCAAAATCAAAAAGCATGCATTCTTACTTAAGGTCTGAAAGTAAGATTATTAGCACTTTGTTTAACTGCACTTAGGATATACTCTAATTCCAAAATGCCTAAAATGCTGTCTGTATTGTTCTCACTGGCTTCTTCCTACAGCCAAACAGCAGCTGAAAGCCAGTGCCAATCCCATTCCAGTCAAAATTCTAAAACCCTGTTTGTCTGAGAAAGGAGACCTCTGCTACTGATCTGTGTTAAACAAACATTCACCAAGTATATACAGTATCCCCACTGATAAGATACTAAGATAAATACTATGTGAATGGTGGGTCTACAACCTTCTCAAGCTTGTAGTCTAATAAAGAGAACAACCTACTTCAGTAAGTGCAGGCCTGGCTCAAAGTTTGTGACATGACAGTAAGAATAACAGACTACCTCAGGAGGGAAGCTAACAACCAGGAGAAATGGTACTGGCAATATCTATGACTCTATGCATGTGGGCACAGCTGCAGTGAAGTAATTACATCCCATGTTATACAAGGCTTTCATTATTTTTCCAATAATGGGGGCAATGAAAATGACAGGTCTCTAGAAGAGGGAAAGAGTATAATAGAAAAGCTGGTCATTCAGACAGAACATATAAACAGTATATGACAATATTACTCAGTAATAAAATAATATCAGCATAACATGGGTGAAACTCAAAAACATTTGAGATAAGGCAATTAAAAAAAACTACAAACTATATAATTTGATGTATATAAAGTCCAAGAACAGCTAAAACTAAACCAGGCTAATAGAATTTTAAAAGGCTTACCTCAGGGGAAGGCTATTAGGTTGAAAAGGGTTAAGAATAAAATATTCTATTTCTTGACCTAGATGAGTGATTATGTGAACTATATAATATATATAGCCATTCAGTTTTATACTTTAAATTTTACTTATCATCAAATGTAAATTACAATGACAAAAAAGGAAAAAACAAACAAACAAACAAAAAAACCCCACATACAACTGCTAATTGCAAATAAACCAAGCCAATGCTACCCCAAAAGCAGGAAAATCAGGGGAAATGTTCTAATAGACACTCCATATTCAATCAGCAAACAAAATTCCTATAAGACCTTAAAGTAGAAGTGTTAAGACCTTAAAGTAGAAGTGTTAAGACCTTAAAGTAGAAGTGTTAAGCTTCTCCTCTACTTCAAGAAGACATGCTGCAACTTGACCAATATATTCCTTTTACTCCATATCATGCAGCCACATTTACTTACCAAGAATACAGCTGGCATTTCAATAGCTTACAACTACTAAAAAGCATTCTTTCATATACCAGAGCCAAAATGCATACTTCAAACTTCAGTTTTTAAAAAGTCAACAGTCAGGGGCGGGAGAGATAGCTTAGTGGTTAAGAGCACTGACTGCTCTTGCAGAGGACCCAGGTTTGATTCCCAGCACCCACATGGCAGCTATGAACTGTCGTTAACTCAAGTTCCAGGGGAATCCAAAGCTCTCTTCTGCCCTCCGTGGCATTGCACGACATGGGTGAACTCACATACATGCAGGCAATACACTCATACACATAAAATAAAAATAATACATAAAATAGTAAAAAAAAAAAAAAAGTCAACAGTCTTTTTAAAAGCTAGTCAGAATGCTATAACAGAAAAGTCATTCAGGAGGCTGGGGAGCTGGCTCAGTAAAGTTATTGTTGTACAAGTATGAAGGCCAGAGTTCAGATTCCCAATACTCACATAAAAAGTTGGCTGGCATGGTAGCCCACCTGTAATTCCAGTGTTCTAGAGCCAAAAACAGTCCTTAGGGAAAGCTGGCTAGCTATATGAGATGAACTGGTAAGCTCCAGATTCAGCAGATACCTTTCTTCAGTAGACAAGACATTGATCAAGGAATACACCTGACATCAACCTCCAGCCTCCACCTGCATGTGGCTGCACACATGCAAACACACACAGAACATGCACAGACATAAAAAGAAGTCAATCAGATACACTCACAAGAAAAACAATTTATGTAGTATACTGTATTTTCTCCACTAACAAAATTAAGCAACCACACACATTTTGAACCAACTAGTCAGAGCTCAGTAATAGTGGCTAACCCAACATCAATCTACTTTTTTTTATATATTATTTTTATTTTATGTGTATGAGTGTATTGCCTGCATGCATGTGAGTGCACCCATGTTGTGTAATGCTGCAGAGGTCAGAATAGGGCTTCAAATTCCTCTGGAACTGGAGTTAAGGACGGTTCGTGCCTGCCATGTGGGTGCTGGGAATTGAACCTGGGTCCTCTGCAAGAGCAGTCAGTACTCTTAACCGCTGAGCCATCTCTCCCGCCCCCAATCTACTTTTCTAACAATACAACAGTTGTGAGAAATCTGTGAGCTTTAGGTAATCTAAACACTAAAAAAGAAAAACTAAAATTTAGCCTCACCAATTTAAGGTTGCTTATTTCCTCATATCAAATAAACTGAACTAAGCTTATCAAAACATTAATTCTTCAGATTGCAAAGTTTTATTAAAATTCTTTTGATTATAGATTGGAAGGCCTACTTCCAAAACAAACTTTATTATTCCTCTCCCTGTAGCCCCAACTGGCCTGGAACTCACTATGTAGACCAGGCTGGCCTTGAACTCACAGAGATCCGCCTGCCTCTGCCTCCTGAGTGCTGGGATTAAAGGCATGTGCCACCACGCCCAGCTTCCCACTTTGATATTTAACACTTAACAAAGTGATCTACTTACCCAAATTTTGCCTTAGAAACATCTTGATACAAAAACAATCTCATCCGAAATTACATCAAACCTGAAAGAATAAATGTAAAAAGTTATTTAGTTTTTTGTTTCTGGTAGGAAAACCCGTATCTACAATACACTATTCTTAAATTATAAATCATTTTAGTACCATAGGACTGGCAATACTGGTCTTTAGTCTATAGGCACCTGGTTCTGAAACCCTACAAGAATAAATTTACAGATGGTCAGGTCCCTTACATAAAATGTCTTTGTACATGCACATTCTTCCATGTACTCAAACATTTCTGTATTATTTTTTAACAGTTTATTTATTATTTTATATTTGTATGAGTATATTGCCTACATGTGTTTAAGTGCACCATGGCATGCAATGCCCACAGAGGTCAGAAGAGGGAGTCAGATTCCCTGGAAACTGGAGTTAGAGACAGTTGTCAAGAGTCAAGTGAGTGCTGGGACTCAAACCCAGGTCCTCTGCAAGAGCAGTCAGTGCTCTAACTGCTGAGTCATCTCTCCAGCCCCCTCTATATTACTTTTAATACCTAATACTATGAAAATGCTATGCACACAGGTGTTGCATTACATTGTCTAGGGATTAGCAATAAGGCAAGTCTGTACATGCTTACTCTAGCTGTAATTTTCCAAATATTTTCAATACAAGGTTTGTCAAATTAATGAATGTAGAACCCGGGTAGAATTGACTACTAATAAAACATACTTCTAGATCAGTGTTTAGTATTATGTCCATACCAAAAATACACCAAAAAACCAAAAATAAAATATACAGAAATGGAAAGGAATAAAATATATTAATAGGTGTGATAATAACTAATAGACAGTGTAAACACCATTAGAGACTAGTACAAACTGATACTGTTCTTCAATTTAATCTTCAATCTACTATATACCATTTTCACAACTAATAATCCACTGAAAATGAACTTTCCAAAAATCTTACTATTATACCATTATGAAAATTCAATATATCTTACTGGAAATTGTATATATTTCCTTCCCCTATCTGAAGCCAGTATATTATTTTAAATTCTCTGTTCTCAAAAAGAAAAGGCACTAGATACTTATTCCAATTCTCAGCCTAGATCACTGTAAGTATTCCATTCTGTCCTCAGAACTATGGTATGTGATCACTTTACAGTGCTTATCCTAAACACATACACTCCTACTTTCTCTACTACTGTGTTTACATCACACTAAACCTTCCAGAGCCAGAACAGCCCCCAGACTCCCTCAGCCTTCCTGCTTTTTCAAATGTTGAACTAAAATTACCTATCTCTACCTGCCTTCAACTTTGCTTAGTAACAGCTTTTTCTAAAAAATATTTTATTTATTTTGTGTATGAGTGTATTGCCTGCATGTATGTGAGTGCACCCACGTCGTGCAATGCTGCAGAGGTGAGAAGAGGGCTTCAGATTCCCCTGGAACTGGAGTTAAGGACGGTTCGTAGCCGCCATGTGGGTGCTGGGAATCAAACCCGGGTCCTCTGCAAGAGCAGTCAGTGTTCTTAACCGCTGAGCCATCTCTCCAGCCCCAGTAACAGCTCATTACTAACCAGTCCTTCAAAATTGCAGTCAGTCATCCTGGCAGAGTGGTCTTTAATTCCATCAGCTGTATCAAATTAGGGTTATCAATTGTGAAACCTGTATAATTCTAAAATGGTGATTGCTCTGTTTACCTGTGTACTTTCTTATTTTATGTGTATGAGTGTTTCACTTGCCTGTATGTTAAGTACACCCGTGCATACAATCCCCATGGAGGCCAAGAGTATGTCAGATCCCCCCGAACTGGAGTTATGGAAGGTTGCTAGCTACCATCTGGGTGCTGGGAACCAAATTCAGGTCCTCTACAGTAGAAGCCAGTGCTCATAAGCACTGAGCACTCCAGCCCCTACTTGTGTATTTTCTGAATCACAGTGTGAACAAAGTGAAAACATGAATTCACTTATTTCAGAGTACTCCAGTTGGTGGGCACATAGTAAATTTCTAACAATGTGGACTGAATAAGGGATTCAAATTTTGCAAGGCACGGTGGCTCACACCTTTAGTCCTAGCACTTGGGAGGCAGAAGCAGGCAGATACTTCTGTGAGTTCTAGGCCACCCCAGTCTACATAGTGAATTCTAGGCTAGCTGGGGCTACAGGGAGACCCTGTCTCAAAAGACCATGTCAAAAAAAAAAAAAAAAAAGGGATTCAAATTGTGTTATATCCCAAAACTATTTAAGACATAAAATAAACAAAATAAACAAGTAATATTCAGGCTAATGAATTTACTTCACATCTTCAAATATTATAGAGAAAGTAACCCTTCTGGATACATTGACCCTATGAATAACCATATTTAAGTAAAAATAAAACTGACAATAATAATCAGCCCAGTACTGTCTTCTATTTAGTCAGTTAATCCATTAGGACTAGGATTTGGGTATTAAGGATTTCTACCCCTACAAAAAGTGTGAACCATACACATAAAATAAAAATAATAAATAAAATATCTTTTTTAAAAAGTTTGAACCAGAAATCCTAGACTAATTTTAGTATGAAGCAGAAAAGATTGGAGACATCAACAAACACAGTTTGGACACTAATTCAGAAAAGTGGTTTAGAAGCTTTATTGTGTAAAATACCTGGATGATTTATTATACAAACTGTTAGGCTCTGGCCCCAGGGTTTTTACTTTTGTGGGTCTACACTAGTGCCTTAAATGATACATATCCTTAAGTGAAAAATCACAAACCTAAATTTTTTTTGTAATATCTAGATGTGACAGCCCCTGCCACCTAATAACTTGGACTTCTACTTGCCCAGAACTGCACACACTGGGACCTGTTACAGACTAAATCCAAGTGAGAGCATTAGAGATCCACTCTAAGTTGCTGCACAATAGGCTAAAACATGGCCCCACAAAAGATACTACCCTCATCTGTGAAACCTATGTGCTGTCTCCTAGTAAAGGGTCTGTACAAATATGACTAAGAAACGTGAGATGCAGTATTAAATAAGAAGGGTTAGCAGGCTCTTTGACAAGGACAGAAAATCCTTGTACCTAACAACACATACAGTTATGCATCTAACCATTATTTTTACTTATTGTTTGTTGTGTCCTGAGAATATTAATTTGAAGGTGTGGGGCAAGGATACTATAGTCCCAGTTGCACACTATTATGGGAGAGAATGATTTCTATACAGTGTAGTATACTTAATAATCATTCAATTTTGAGAAAAAAATTGAGATGAACAGATGGCCCTGAATTATCTGGATGGGTCCTAAGGACAATCTTATGAAACCATATAAGAAGGCAAGAGGGAATCTAACTACACAGAGAAGGCAATGAGACAGCATAAAAATTTGAAAATGCTGGGCTTGAAGATTGAAAGGATATGGCCAACCCAGGAAAAGGCAAGACATGGATACTTGTCTAATGCCTCCACAGAAGAACAGCTGTGCCAAAACCTCCTTTCCATCCTTAGTTAACAATTTCAGACTTTTCTTTCCTTGTATCACTAGGCGTTAAACATAGAGCCTCCTACACACTAGGCAAGTGTTCTGATCTCTATCCTAGCTGCTTTGGGGGTTTGTTCAGCTGAAACAAGTCTTGGTAACTTTCTCAAGTTGACACTGAACTCATTCTATAGGCCAACCAGGCCTTAAACTTGTCCTCCTGCCCAGCCTTCTTAAAAGTTATAATTTCTGACTTCTGGCTTCTAGAACTAGCAGAATAAATTCCTGTTCTTTAAAGCCACCCAATGTGATAATTTGTTACAGCAGTCACAGGAAATCAGTGTGCTGAAAATGGCAAATTCATAAAGAATTTAGAAGAGCCTGGTCTACATAGATGAGGTGCTGAAAACAGAACTATATTCTTCCCTCCAAATTTCTTATGTGAACACCCTGACCCCAAATGTGACTACAAATGTGGAGGAAGAGTTTTCAGGAGGCAAATAAATTGGATGAGGTCCCAAAGATGATGAATGAGGCCATAATCCAGTATGACTGGTATCCTTCTGAGAAGAGAAACTAGGTGTGCACACAGGGAAAAAGTCTCAGCAGAAACAACCTACATCATCTTCACCTTCCATACTACATTAGATTAAGCAAATAAACTGTTTAGTCTACCCATTCTGGGGTATTTTATTATGGCAGTCTACGTGAATTAATCCATAAGGGGATACACAGGGTTACAAGACATTGCAAATTTACTTAACTACACACTTCAAAATTCTTAAAATAGTAAATTGTGTTATGTACATTTATTGCAATAAAAAATAAAAGTATGCCAGGCATAGTGTACAGGGCTTTATGAGTGGTGCACTCAGCAGGCAGAGCCAGGTGGATCTCTCACCAAGAAAAGCCTACTCTACATGGTGAGTTCTAGGCCACCTATGGCTACAGGGAGACCCTGTCTCAAAAACAAAAAAGAAATTTTAAAAATTACATTCACATACAATACAAATGAAGTAACAAACTTCAGCTTTAGCTTTATTTTTAAAATCTTGCTCTCCTCAAAAATCAGGAGGAAAACACTTATATGCATTGTTCATCAAAAACAAGTATGTATTAGACACATAAAATTTATTTTAATTTTTAACAAATAATAATTGTACATTTACTTATGGGGTAAAATTCTGTTTTGATCTGGGTTTACATTGTCAAATGATTAGATTACACTAATAATCTATTACCTCACAGACTTATAAAAGTGGCAAAATATTCAAAATCTACTCTTAGAAAGTCTGATATATACAAAGCATCATTATTGTCGCCATTCTGTGTATTACACAGCAGATAACAACCATCCATAACTCTAGTTCCAGGGGATCTGATGCCCAAGACTGACCACCAAAGGCACTGCATGACAAGGGTACACTTGCATGCATGCATGCATGCAGGCAATACACTCATACACATTAAAAAAAAAAATCCAAGACACCTAGACAAGTAAGAGCAGAGAGTAGAACATCTAAGAGTCCAGCTCCATAGTAATTACAGCAATCCTGCAAGGAAGCTAGTCACACCACAAAGTCGTCCAGTAAGATG